AAATGGTCGCCCTCATCATCCTCCGCCTCCAGCTCCTTCTATCCGCCCCTCCCTCCCCCATATCCCTGCCCCACCTCCCTCTCTTCCGTTTTCTCCTTCTCCTCTTCATATTTCCTCCCAGTGGGGTGGAGCGGACCCCGGGCGAACCCTGAGGAACCCCGACAACATACAGGAATCCCTGCAAAGCTCCGAGGAGGAGGAGGAGCAGGAGGAGGAGGAGCAGCAGCAGCAGCAGCAACAGAACGGCCCACGAGATGCCCGAACGGCCCAAGAGAGCCCCAATAGGGCCCCAAGAGGGACCCAAGAGAGGGAACACGAACCGACAATTCGAGACTTCCGCCCCAAGCAGCCCCCATGAGGCCCCAAGAGGCCTGCAAGAGACCCCAAGAGGCCTAAACAAAAGCCCCAATAAGCTCCCCGACGGCCCTCAAGAGCCCTCAAAACTGCCTCCAAAGAAACCCTCGAAGGCCTGCCACGATATCTCAACGAACATCCAAGAGGCCTCTGACCTACAACCCAGGCACGGTGGCGGGATAGGCCGAAAACCACTAGATCCGCCGCCCCCTGCTTGGAGGGGTGCACGGCGTGCTGGACGTTTCAGGTTTTGGTTTTGGTTCTTTTTCTAAAAGATCTCCCCAGTGGGCTTCGGCCCGTCCCGCCGGCCACCCGGAAAGGATGCCCAGGAGCTCAATTCCCCAATTTCCTGCCCCAGACGGTTCCAAGATGGCCTCCAAGATGCCTCTAAGACGGCCAGGATGGTCTCTAAGACGGCTAAGATGGCTCCAAGATGCCTCCAAGACGGCCCAAGATGCCCTCCAAGACGGCCAAGATGGCCCCAAGATGCCTCCAAGATGGCCCAAGAGGCCTCCAAGACGTTCTCCAGGAGAGCCCGAAGAGGCCAAAATCATTGGTTTTCCTTAGGTGTTTGAAGGTTTTTTGCGTTTTCTTCTTTTCGGCCTTCCGACGGCCCAAGAGGCCCCCAAGATCGCCCAAGAGGCCTCCAAGAAGGCCCTATGACGGCCCAAGGGCCCCCCAAGACGGCCCCAAGAGCGCCCCAAGACGGCCCAAGAGGCCTCCAAGACGCCCAACATGGCCTCCAAGACGGCCCTGAAGCGCCCCAAGAGGGCCCCAAGACGGCCCAGAGAGGCCCCCAAGACGGCTCCAGACGGCGTCAGACGGACCAGGAACGCCCTAAGACGGCCAAAGAGACCCCCAGGAAGCCCCCAAAGGCCCCCAAGAGGCCCAAGGAGGCCCCCAAGATGCCTCCAAGAGGCCTCGAAGAGGCCCCCAAGAAGCCCCCAACAGACCCCAAGGGTGCCCCAAGAGACTCCTAACAACCCTCATCCTCCTACTCTATTTCTTCCTCTTCCTCTTCCTGTTCATAATCATTCTCTCCCATGTGTTCCCCGAAAGCTTTCCAAACCGACTCGGGGAACTCATGGTCCGATAGCTTGGCCAAGCTCTAGTCCAACTTTCGGCCACATCGGCGTTTCCAAAAAGGCAGGGGGCGGCGGTGATTCGCCGTAGGCGTCTTCGATAGCCACCTCGTAAGACAGTAGAGGCCGAAGCCCCCACAACAAGCTCCAAACAAACTGTTTCATCCCCATGCGTTCTGCCGCATCGCCTCTGGAAAACGACCACGGCCCACCAGCGCCGCCTGGCGCGCGACCGCGCAAGCAAACGCCCGCGATGGCACAATACGGGCCGGCGGAATGAGCGAAGCGATTCAATATTGCAACTACTGCGCTGCAGTGTTGGGTGGCATTGCAGTGCCGCTTGCGGTCCGCATCTCGGTGCCAGCTTTAGCTTACGAGCGATTGCTCCGCATGTGTGTCGGAGCGGTTTGGGGAGTTCAGGCAGAACGGCCCTCGAAGCACCAACAACTATACCACAAAACACACTTCACTCGAGTTGAGTCATCATTGTGCGCTGTACTTGGTTTACGCTGAAATGCTTGAAATGAACTGTCACTTGTTGACCAGCCGAGTGTGTGTACGTAAAGCAGGCACCGGTTTCAGCAGTACGGGATTCGGATCCCCGCATCCGTTCGCTGTCTTCCACCAGCAGGATCTGGCTGTGCCGATGGGTTCCTGGGACTACTCCTGGAACACAAGGGGCCCCCCCTCCACGTGCACGGTTTCCCCCAGGGCCTCAGGCGACCCGAGGAGGAGGAAGAGGAGGAAGGGGAGGAGGAGGAGGGGGAGGAAGAGAAGGGGGAGGAGGGGAGGAGGAGGAGGAGGAGGGGAGGAGGAGGAGGAGGAGGAGGAGGAGGAGGACGACGAGGAGGAGGAGGGGGGGAAGAGAGGGAGGAGGAGAGGAGGAGGAGGAGGAGGGAAGGGGAGGGGGAGGAGGAGGGAGGAGAAGGAGGAGGAGGAGGAGGGGAGGAGAGGGAGGAGGAGAAGGAGGAGGAGGAGGAGGAGGAGGAGGAGAAGGAGGAGGGGGAGGAGAAGGAGGGAGGAGGAGAAGGAGGAGGAGGAGGATGATGAGGAGGAGGAGGAGCAGTAGGAGGAGAGAGGAGGAGGAAGACGGGTCGCCTGAGCCCTTCGGAGAATCCCCCCTCCACTAGGGGGCCACATGCGAACCCTACCCCCACCCCCCACGATTTTGATTTCTGAGGGTGAGGGGGAGGGTGGGGGTGGGCGAACGCAGTGAACCCCACCCTCCCCCCTCCCCCTCAGAAATCGTGGGGGGCAGGGGTGGGGCTCGCATGTGGCTCCCTAGTGAAAGGGGGGGGGGGTTCTCCGAAGGGCTCAGGCGACCCCTCCTCCTCCTCCTCTCCTTCCTCCTCCCCCTCCTGCTCCTGCTCCTCCTCCTCCTCCTCATCCTCCCTCCCTCCTCCCCTCCTACTCCCTCCTCCTCCCTCCCCCTCCTCCTCCTCCTTCTCCTCCCTCCTCCTCCGCCTCCTCCTCCTTCTGCTCCTCCTCCTCCTCCTCCCTCCTCCCTCCTGTCCCCCTTGTCCACGTCCTCCAATACCATCTCCCGGTCCTCCTCGCGCACGGGGTCGGCGGCGCTGGACGTAAAAACCCTCCGCGGTCCTCGGGCCTCTTGCGGCCGTGCGCCAAAAACTCACGGTGCGGGCACCCTCGGAGAACGCGCTCTCGGCAGGGCGCAGGCTGCAGGAGCGAGGGACCCTGGGGACACACAAAGAAATGGACACAAACAACAGGATCCCCCATCTTTGTCAATATTTTCTGGGGTTTTGTCTTCCCCATCACTTTCCACATTTTCCCATCTTTTCCTGGGAGTCGACGATGAATTGTGTCTGTGTGTGTGTGTTTCCCCCTCCTGCAGGAGAGCATCCCACGGCTGGAAAACCTCATACAGGGAAGAAGAAAAACGCCATAAACATGTACTTTTGGCGCTCCGCGCGGATCTTCTCAGATCTGCGCTGGACCCCCTCCCTGGCGCGCGGAGCGCGCCAGGGGCGGCGCCGGAGGCGCCGCCAGGGGGGCCCAGCGCGGATCCAAGAAATCCGTGAGTAGCACCAAAAGTTTATGTGTATGAAGTTGTTTCTTCTTCGGAAACATCTGCCGAGGCAAAGGAGGACAAGGAATAGCAGGAGGAAGACCTCCGTCGACAGCGACCAGAAGACGACAAGAAGACGACAACGACGACGACGACGACGATCACGACACCCATGACGAAAAAGACAAGGACAAAGACGACGACGACGACGACGACGACGAGCGGTACAGCGACGAACACGACGACGAACCCCCGAACTGTCCTGTGGCTCGTTCTGACCAACATCCCGCCAACCCTGTGGGCGCATGTGGCTTAGAGGAATCATTCTTCCGACCCCCTTCTCCCTTCGAGGCGTTTGCCACGGACCAGTAGTGGCGAGCTGCCCCTCCCCCCCCTCGACCAGCCGACGACCAGGAACAGTGCGGGCCTCCCTTCACCTTCCCTGCCGAATGCCTGCAGGGAGCCATGTTGTGAAAGCATGGCGCGGGATGTCTGGGCTCCATGGGGCCGGCTGTCCCCCCTGAGTCACCTCTGATAACTTCGGGCCCCCGTACGGCAAGTTCGTGTCGTCTCGACCCGGGCGTTGGTTCCAGATACCGCAGGTATCGTTCAACCTCGCACGATCGGCCGCTTCCGCAACGTCCGATCGTTCAAACCGATTCCAGGTCGGCGGCGTTCCATGTTGAACGCTGGCGGCGGGGTCGCCGCCGGTCGACACGACGCGAACCTACCGTAAATGGCCGCAAACGGCCAAAAACATTCCGCCGTGATTCGTGTTCACGACGCGAACAGGTCTGGCGTCCGGGTCAGAGATCCTCCGGCGACCGTTCGGGAAGAGTCGGGAACCCCCAAGACGTTCTGGGCGAGGCGCAGCTGCAGGGAAAAGCACCCCAAGACTCCTCCAGGTGCCGACGAAAACACCGAAAAGCTCGAACGAAGACGCGAGTAGGTCTGAGGGGCAACGATAAGGGGGGACTGGCATATGGGGGGGTGGACACATCAACCTAGAATCAGCGATACACCGCCGACAGATCAGCGATAGGCCCCCAATAGTGAATCCAGTCGTTCATGGGCCAGGGTGAAGCTATCAGGTCCCTATCAGCGATCAATGGGCCGTTGGGGGTCGATGCGTCCCCCCGTATGCCCATCCCCCCCTCCTCTGCTTGCCCCTGGAGGTCAGGTCAGGTCTGTTGAGCAGGGACCGACCGTCCCGGCATTCCTACCCCGAAATGTTCTTAGAACCAAAAAATGTCTAAGGACAAAAACAATGTTCTTAGAACATTAGCCCGATGTGTTAAAACAAGACAGCCTCCGCCAGACATGCTCTAAGAACATTTCCTGGAAACCACAGAAGGGTTCTTAGAACATTGTTTGGTATGGCTATAGGCGAGCCAGGGCGCTTCGCCGCTGCTTGAGTCTGGGGCCGCCCACGGCCGGGCCATTGGGGGCCGATGCGTCCCCCCGTATGCCCATCCCCCCCTCCTCTGCTTGCCCCTGGAGGTCGGGTCAGGTCTGGGGCCGCCCGAGGCCGGCGCCTCCTTGGCGCACCAGCTGGGCGCCGCCCGGCACCGCAGCGGCGGGCGTGCGCCGTCCGCGGCGGGGCCCTCGGGCGCTGCTCCGGGGCGGCTGTGCGCCTCGACGGGGGGAGCCCTCGGCTCCGAGGGCCCCCGCGGGGGAGGAGGGACCGGCACAAGAAGCATACAGGCGCCCAGCAGGAGGAGGAGGAGGAGGGGGAGGGGAGGAGGAGGAGGAGGAGGAGGAGGAGGAGGAGGAGGAGGAGGAGGAGGAGGAGGAGGAGGAGGTGGAGGTGGAGGAGGAGGAGGGGAGGAGGAGGAGGAGGAGGAGGAGGCGGAGAGGAGGAGGAGGAGGAGGGCACAAGAAGCATACAGTGGGGGGCCCGACCACAAGAAACCTTTCACAAGAAACCCAACCCTGAGACCCCAGAGCGTCAATTGGTTTGTGGTGTGGGTACGTCACGCTTTCCATCGCAAAACCATCGAAACCTAAGAAACCCAGGGCACCCTGGAGGCAAGGAGGGTATTTCTTAGCATCGGCCCCCAATGTAGACGCTCGGAGGTCCGCGCGACCTCCGAAAGCGTATGCTTTCGCAGCTTGCTCTACCTCAGTGAAGCACGTTCTGCTGCGGGCAATGGTGCTGCAATAGCCTGCTGGCTTCTGCCGCGGAGCCGCGGCCATGGCAGCCCGTACTAAAATTTGATCTTTAGCTCGGACGGAAACTGGGACGATAGCCACTTCGGCACTCTGGCACTGGAGGCCTTCCAAATTGGGGCATTGGGTCCGAATGGATGGAGTCGGAAGATCGCGCCGCATCGCCCAGCGACGCCCGAGTGGAGAGAATGGGGCTCCCGATCGAGCCGCATCACCGATGCATCAGCGATGCGGCGCGACCCTCCGACCCCATCTACTCGAACCCCAGTTGGGAGACCCGGAGGCACGGGCCGTGCTGGTCGCAGCAGCGGTGGAAAAATTCTGATTGCATCGCGATCTTCGTCGTCGCGCAGTTGCTCATCTAAGGGGGGTCTCAGCAAAGAACGCTGGCCTCCTCGCGCCGTGGAAAAAACACGCCTCCTCACAACCGGCATCGTCGTCCTCAATCCTGCCCCCCCCTACCGCCACTCGAGCTCCGCGCTTGGCAAGAACCCATTTGTTTATTCGGGCCGGTCACGGGCGTAATGAGGGGGTGGACGCCCCGCCGATAACGTCACGGCGGGGGTGCGCCTGGGGTGCCGCAACATACCACTACTACTACTACTACTACTACTACTACTACTACTACTACTACTACTACTACTACTACTACTACTACTACTACTACTACTACTACTACTACTACTACTACTACTACTACTACTACTACTACTACTACTACTACTACTACTACTACTACTACTACTACTACTACTACTACTACTACTACTAATACTACTACTACTACCTACTACTACTACTACTACTACTACTACTAACTACTACTACTACTACTACTACTACTACTACTACTACTACTACTACTACTACTACTACTACTACTACTACTACTACTACTACTACTACTACTACTACTACTACTACTACTACTACTACTACTACTACTACTACTACTACTACTAAACTGCTACTACTCTGCTACTACTATGACTACGACTACGACTACGACTACGACTACTACGACTACGACTACGACTACGACTACTACTACTACTACGACTACGACTACGACTACGACTACTACTACTACTACTACTGCTACTACTACTACTACTACTACTACTACTACTACTACTACTACTACTACTACTACTACTACTACTACTACTACTATACTACTACTACTACTACTACTACTACTACTACTACCATATACTACTACTACTACTACTACTACTACTACTACTACTACTACTACTACTACTACTACTACTACTACTACTACTACTACTACTACTACTACTACTATTACTACTACTACTACTACTACTGCTACTAGCTACTCTACTACTACTACTACTACTACTACTACTACTACTACTACTACTACTACTACTACTACTACTACTACTACTACTACTACTACTGCTAAGCATCGTTCCATTACAAGCCCCAGGACGGCCCCAGCAGGGGCCCTAGGCGCCCAGAGGCCACAAAATCCACGAATCCACACCGGATACAAATTAACTCCAATCGTTCCGTGCCAGAAAGTCAACGAATCGATACCGATTGCAAATCAAAAGTGATCGTTGCGTTCCAGGCTCACCCTCCTCGTCCTCCTCGTCCTCCTCCTCCTCCTCCTCCTCCTCCTTACCCTCCTCCTCCTCCTCCTCCTCCTCCTCCTCCTCCTCCTCCTCTTCCGCCCCCCTGTCCTCCTCCTCCTCCTCCTCCTCCTCCTCCTCCTCCTTCTCTTCCCTCCTCCTCCTGCGAGGATTTCAACAAGAATGCTTCTGCAGAGGATATCAATGGGGATCCTTCCGTGGAGGATTTGAATCAGAGTCTTTTTGCGGCGGATTTCTGAAGGTCCCAGGATGGGCCCAGGGCGCCCGGAGGCAAAAAATCAGCGAATCGATACCGGACACAAAAGGAACTCCAATCGTTCCGTTCCAGGCCTCAAGAAGGCTCCTGGAGGGGCCCAGGGCGCCCTGAGGCCAAAAAGTCAACGAATCGATACTTCTAATCAGAAAGGCCGGACGAAGAGGAGGAGGAGGAGGAGGAGAGCTCCAGTGCCTGTATACACCACAGCGCTGGCAGCTACGAGCGCAGCGCTACGACCGACGCACCAATGCCTTTCAGAAACAGAACAACACTGCGTCCCTGAGAGCACCACGCGGCACGCACGCAACCGCTTCCCCTCGCGAATACCACAGCGTGCCTCTGAGCACCACAGTAGCCTGCGAGCGCCACAGGACGTCCACGGTCGCCACCGGACGACCACCGTGACGTGAGGGAGGGGGCGTGGCCGGTCACGCCCGTGATCGCCGGGAGGTTTTCCGAACGGGCTCCAAAAGCAGGACGGAATAGATCGGGCGATGTTCGGCCTCCGGGGGGGGGCCCCTGCACGGCCCCAGGACCGCCACAGAACAACTCGGGACGAAAAGCCGGCCTGCAGGAAGAGATCGGGACCAGGTCATGACTCGGGCCTCCGACAGCCGCTCGGGAGGATCCAGGCCCCCACAGTACGCCCTCGACGAGGGCGCAGCTGCGGGAGAGCATCTCCCGGGGCTGCAGAACCTCCAAGAATCGACGAAACAACCTACGAGCACAGACGAGGACGGCGGAAAACCTCAGAGAACCGACCCGAGACATACAACGTCATGTTTTCATACGCGGTTCCTGGACCTCCCGACCCGTTCCGCAGGACCAGCTTTCCGTCCTGAGCCGTTGTTTGACGGTCAGAGTCCAAAAACGGCCAAAAACCTCCCATCGTGATTTCCTGTCAGGGCGCGAGCATGTCTGGGACGAGCGCGCCCGAGACTGCGCGGACAGCAAGCGACCACAACCACATCGACGACACACCCTGGGGGGTGTCTTGCGCATGCCTAAACCTATCGGGACACCGAAACCGGTTTCGCACTGGCTGTGGCCAATGTGGCGTCCCAGGACGGCCAAATGGACCACAACCACAGCCGAAGTGCTCATGTCGAGGTCGGTGGGTTCTCCCCCGCTTGGTTGTGGTTGTGGCTCGCTGCGGTGCCCCCTCCCTCCCCTTCCCGCGGGCTCTCCCCCTCCCCTCCCTTCCCCCCCCCCTCCCCCGCGCCCCGCTGTCGTGTCGTCTTTCGTCGTCGTCTCTCCCTCTCTTGCCACAGGGCTCCTCTTGCGTTGGTTAAAAAATGGCTCGCTGCTGTGCCCGGAGAGCGGCGACGGCCACGGCGGCGACTCCAGCGGCGGCGGCGAGGGCGCGCAAGCCGCTCGGGGTGGCCGCGGCCTTGCAGCTCGGGCTCCTGCCGTAACGGGGGCAGGTCGGCGCTGGCGCGGCGTCCCGGGGCTGGCACGGCCTCGGCTCGGCGTCCGCGGAGGGAGGGAGGCCCAGCGACGCGGCCAGGCAACCCGCCCCCGCCGCCTCCTGACCGTCCAGGACGGCTTGAAAAGAGCACCAGGACCTTGACATCTGAACGCCAGCCGAGGCTCGTAGCAGCCCAGATAGGTCGCTCGGTCTGGAGTGCGACTCTATAGCACTCTGGAAAATCAGGGTTTTCCTTCTCTCCCCTCCTCCACCTCCTCCTCCTCCTCCTCCTGAGGGCCGCGAGTCCGGCAGGCTGGGCGCGCGACGCACAGAGGAGGCAAGGCGTCCAGCGCGCACCCTGGCGGAGCCCGGCAAAAGCGGCCGGGTGGCCGCCGAGGTGCGCCGAGGGGCTCTGCCTCCCAAGTCGGCCGCGGGAAAGCCCGGCAGTAGGGGCTCGACCACAAGAAACTTTCCACAAGAGACCCCAGGACCTCCATTGATTCCCGGTGGGATCGTCACGCTTTCCATCGCAAAACCATCGAAACCCAAGAAGCTCAGGGCACCCTGGAGGGAAGCACCCTGGAGGGAAGCCGGGTGTTTCTTGGCATGGGTTTCCACTGTATGTGTGAAACCTCGGAGGGACCCTCCGCGGGCCCAGGGTTCAACCTTCAGCGCTGTCCAGAGGCCGGCACCCCCTGCCTCACCCCCTGCTGCTGCTGCTTGCTGACCCGCCTCAGTCTTCTCCTTCTCCAGCGCGGGGGGTAGGGATGGGGGGAGGAGGAAATACGCACTGCGGCAGCATGCGACGGGAAACGCGTTTTTCCTCCAGCCCCGCTCGGCGATGGGGCCACGCAGAGGTGTTAGAGCACCCGTGCGCGCGCCAGAGCCTCGAACATCAGGGGCAACCGAGCAGAAAAGCGGCCCCCCCCCTTCTTCGGGAGGGAAGGAGGGAAAGATTGGAGGCATGGAAATGGGCACCAACACCAACACAGGGGGTTGCCTCCACAGGGTAAATATGATCCTAGATTCCGGTGTTGGTGGTAATATGTCGGTCACCTTGGAAGCCAGAATAGTATCACCATCACCGAGATCGGGATCTTCTTCCCTCGGTAGAGGCACACCGCCGATACTGGTGTTGGTGTCAACCTCTAGGCCTGCGAAACGAGGCGGCTCGTGGGCCGCACCACTTGTCATGGGCTGGAGCTGGAACAGAGCATCGCGCGAGGTCTGCTCCCAGAGTGCATGAGCACGGGCACGGCGGCCTCGGGCCGTGACGACCTGCGCGCCGGCTTCTGACACCGCGTGGACCGTTCCACCCTGAACAATCGGCGGCTTTCCGATCGCCGGCTTTCCGATCGCAAGATCAGCGGCTTTCCGATTCTGGGCCACTGGCGGCGCTCAACTTTCAACGCTCGCGGCGGGTCCGCGGCGAGTCGAAACGACGCGAGCCTGCCCCTCAGGAGGGGGGGGCAGGAGGGCAGGCGAGGAGCCTCGAGGGAGGGCCCCCCGAGGGACCAGAGGCACCCCACAAAAGCGCCCCACGACCTCGACACTCCTCGTCGTCCCTCCTCCCCTCTTCGCCTCCCTCCGCCCTCCTTCCTCCCTCCCTCCTCCCTCCCTCCTCTGCCCCCCCCTCCCCCCAACCAAAACACGCTGCCTGGGGGCGAGAGCTCGGCGCCGACAGCGAGGAGGGCCGTGACCTTCTTCCTCCTCCCTCGTCCACCTGCGCCTCCTCCCACCGTTGGCGTCGCAAAGATGGCGTGCAACACCGATCTCCGAAAGACACGCTAATCCTGAAGGGTCTTTAGAACGCCCCCCCCAACAGTGGGAACCAGTCATCATTTGGACGCCTGTATTGAAGGACTGGGGCCCCACCCATAGCGGAATGATAATATTCCTCCGCGGCAGCCGCCGCGCAGCAACGACGACGACTACGACCACGATTGAGGAGCAGGATGAAGAGAAGAAGGAGAAGAGGGAGCAGAAGAAGAAGAAGGAGAAGGAGAAGGATAAGGAGGATAAGGAGGAACAGGAGGAGGAGGAGGAGGAGCATGAGGATCAGGAGGAGCAGGTAGGAAAAGCAGGATAAGTAGGAGCAGGAGGAACCGAAGGGGGGAGCAAACTAAAGACTCTCGGGGGTTGCCCCTGTGAGGCGATCCCCCCGCGAGGCCACGTCTGTGCACGCCATCCCCTGCCAGGGCTTCGTCGATGGGGGAAGCGTGTTATAAGCGGGCCAGCGGCGCCACGTGGCACGCTATCTTTGCGACGCCAACCGTACCCCCCGAGTTCACCACGAAGCTCGGCTCGTCAAGAAGGGGGGGGGAACTGCGGAGGGGGGGAGGAATCTGAAGAAGAGAGACGGAACGAGAGAGAGGGGGGGAAGGGCGGAGGGAGGAGGAGAAGGAAGAGGAGGACGAACATGAGGAGGAGGAGGAGGACGACGAAAAGGAGGAAGAGGAGGAGGAGGGGGAGAATAGGCCAGAATGAGGCGGCGGAGGCGGAGGAGGACAGGAGACGAGGAGACAAGGGGCGAGGAGGAGGACGAGGACGAGGAGGAGGAGGAGGAGGAGGAGGAGGAGGAGGGAGGAGGAGGAGGAGGGAGGAGGAGGAGGGGGAGGAGGAGGAGGAGGAGGGAGGAGGAGGAGGAGAAGGAGGAAAAGAGGAGGAGGCGGAGGAGAAGGAGGAGGCAGGATGAGGCGGAGGAGGCGGAGGAGGCGGGGGAGGAGGAGGAGGAGGAGGAGGAGGAGGAGGAGGAGGAGGAGAGAGAAGGGGGAGGACGAGGAGAGAGGAGGAGGAGGAGGAGGAGGAGGAGGAGAGGAGAGGAGGAGGAGGACGAGGAGGAGGAGGAGGACGAGGAGGAGGAGGAGGCAAAGGAGGAAGAGGAGAAAAAAGGTGGGAGGAGTAGGAGTAGGAGAAGGAGTAGGAGGAGGAGGAGAAGGATGAGGAGACGGAGGAGGAGGAGGAGGAGGACGAGGAGGAGGAGGACAGGAAGAGGATGATGATGATGAGGAGGAGGAGGAGAAGGAGGAGGACGAGGAGGAGGAGGGGGAGGATGAGGAGGAGGAGGAGGAGGAGAGGAGGAGAAGGAAGAGGAAGGGGAGGAGGAGAAGGGGGAGGAGAAGGACAAGGAGGAGGAGGAAGAGGAGGAGAAGGAGAAGGAGACGAGGAGGAGAACGAGGAGGAGAAGGAGGAAGAGAAGGAGGAGACGAGGAGGAGGAGGAGGAGGAGGAGGAGGAGGAGGAGGAGGAGGAGGAGGAGGAGAGGAGGACCAGGAGGACCAGGAGGAGGACGAGGAGGAGGAGGAGGAGGAGGAGGAGGAGGGAGGAGGAGAAGGACGGGGAGGCGCAGTCAGAGGCCATGGTGGACTGGCCAAGGCGATTCGGGGCCTGGCGTGGCGCTGGAGGCACGACCGCCCGCTCTACGAATAGCGCGTGCCCACCTGGGCCCGCTTCCGCCCCCGGCGGCCCCCCGAGGGCGCCTGCCCGGCCGTCTCCGAGCGAGCCATCTTGGATGTCAATGCGGAGACGCGGATTGCAGTCGCTTGGTGGATGTCACCGTGAGGCACCCTGCGGCCAGGGACGAATCCTCCGCGCGCGTCGCTACGCGGAGACAGGGAGAGGCCTTTCGTCGAGCCGAGCGGGGGGAACACGAGCGGTATCCCCGCGGACAGCTGACAGCGTTGCTCGCTGCGGAGGCCGCAGGATGGCTCGGCGAGGAGGGGCGGCAATGGCTGGTGAGCCCCGCGCGCGACCATGTGGCGAACTGCGCTGCGCGGCGCCACGTGGCGCGGCAGCTGCGCCAGGCGGCGCGTCGGCGCTGAGGTGGAGAGACAGGGCGGACGCTGGACGCCACGAAGCCGACGAGGCAGAGGAGGCGGCGGTTTGCGGCTACTGGGCACTGACGTGGCGACTGGTCGGGAAGCCGCCCAGCCCAGCGCGACCCGCCAGTGGCCGCCGGCGGCGCGGGGGCGGCGGCGCGGCGCCGGCGCCGCAGGGCGGCGGCGACGCAGAGGCGGCGGCGCAAGGCGGCGGCCGGGCGGCGAAGCCGGCTGCGGGGCTCCTGGGCGACGCACAGGCGCGTCGCGGGCGGGCGCGCGGGTGCGTCGTAGCCTGAACTCCTGGGGTTCCCCTGGGACTCGGGAGTTGCGCTGAAGGAGGAGGAGCAGGAGGAACAGACTACAGGCTGTACGACGTAATCTGTCTCCCGCTTGACGCCCTCGATCAGGTTGCCTCATCGATGCATGTGTCAACCACTCAGCTCATCACCGTGCAATGCGTGCCAACCCTCGAGCAAACTCGATAGCCAAATCAGCTGCCACAAGCTCAGCTTGGAAAAGCACGACATCTGTCATGAATACGCCCGTGTACTCAGCCAATTCTGCTACCCACTGTGACCTCTTGTGCCTGAAAGAACGGAGACGAACGCGCCAGCACCACGTCCTGCATTGAAGCCCCCATCGGAATACAGCTGCGCATGGGCACTGGCCTGCAGAGCATCAGCGATGCTGCGAACGTCGGTGTCGCCCACGTCACGCTGTAGACCCAGGCACACGTTGCACACCAAATCAGCGGCCTTGTTGCACTCTCGCACCCTCCACTCATGGGCGTTGAGGTACCCGGCTTTCTGCCGAGACGTGTCCCTGAAGAGGAAGCACCTTGGTTCGCGCACTCTCTGGACGGTGGCGTCGTACGAGGGGTTCGTAACATGCACTCCCAAATTAGTGAGGTCACATAAAGCCTTGCTGTCAACAGCGAACTCGCGTTGAGGCCTATCCGAAAACAACAAGCACAACGTCACGTTGCAATATCGTTGGCACGACCATGCCCGTCAAAGTCATAACTTCTGGCGCAGCGTCGGGTCGATGAACTCAAGACTAGGTGTAAAAGGGTGGTGGCTCTGGCAATGCCAGCGCGTGACACGCTTCCAACAAGAAGCCACTCCTGCTGCACCCGACAAGCCTGCACCCATGCCCCATGTAAGAGCAGGGCGAATTCCACCAGCTAGTAGCACCATCCCCACGAAGAGTGTAGAAAAAAATGCCCATGATTGAGGGAGCGGCTCCATTGCCCATTTCCAGCCATACACCAACGAACGTGACATAACGAAACTTGAGAATACCTTAAACAAACCCCGCGGCAGCGGGCTATATTTGCTTCGTCGTCCCCAAAGACAGCGGAGAATCCAAGTGAGTGACACCACCTGCAAGGAAGCCGCGGGCGCCCAACCCGCCTCGCACGCCGCCCGAACACGCCGGCGGAGCCCACCAGCAGCCGAGCCGTGCCCCTCGGAAGCGAAGCCCAAGAACCCACGAAGCGACACCTGGAGGAACGCCCAGTGGGGGGGGCGATCAGTGCCAGAGCTTCGCCCTGCTGGCTCCTTCCCTCCCCCTGGAGTGAGTCGGGCCTGTCCTCCTACAGGGGAATTTTGGACGAACAATTAAACATAGTTTTAAAAATATGCAGAACATGCAAAAAACAGTTGGCTATGTTTGAATATTCCTCCTGTAGAGGGACAGGCCCGACTTACTGCTGGCTCCTCAACAGGGAGGCCTCCTCCTCCTCCTCCTCCTTCTCCTCCTGCTCCTCCTCCTCCTCCTCCTCCTCTTCCTCCACCACCGCGCGGGAGGCTGACCAACCCAGGACCCCCAGACCTCGAAGGGCCAGGACTAGACCTGACCGGACCTGGAGCCCCCGACCGCGTGAAGGGCCACGTGGAGCACAGCTGGCACCACGAACACCTCCACGACGTGGCTCCACGACGTGGCTCACGAGGCAAGTGCGCGAACGCACGCCGAGCCCGCTCCCGCATGTCCGGCTCCGTCGTGGGCGTCGGCAGCGCCGCATGCCGCGCGTGCGAGCGCGCGCCGCAGCGGCTCCCGCACGCCCAGCTCCTTCGCGGGCGCCACCAACGCCAGAGCACCCGCTACAGCACGGCCCCGTGCTGGATCGGGAGCGCGTCAGCCCAGGAGACGTCCTCGCGCGTGTCGTCGCTGTCGCTGTGCTCGAGGGCCTGCGGCCAATGAAGACTGGACAAGGAGGCGCAGCGCAGCAAGCACCAGCCGCGCGCGGCGCCGCCGCCGCGGCTGGAGGTCGCCGCCCGCCGCTTGGTGAGCTTGTCCTGGTCCGTGGGCCCGTCGTCGGCCGTCGCTCCCGCAGCCGCCACGCCCTTCGCTGACTACCTACGAGACCACCGCAACCCAACCCGAAGACCCCAATTTCGGGTTGGGGGGGGGGGGTACGGGTTCCATGTGTGCTTTTTCAGTGTCCCCCGACCCCCCACTGGAACTGGAGGGCAAATCGAGGCCTTTGGGTTGGGTTGGGGTGGTTTGGTGGGTGGTGATTCGCAGCGCGGCCCTGCACAGCAGCGCAGGCCTCGCCCCCCCCGCGCCCGCGCGGCCGCCGACGGCGCCGTGCGCGAGGTCCTGCAATGCCTCCTCCTCCCCCTCGTCCTCCTCCTCCTCCTCCTCCCCCTCCTCCTCCTCCTCCTTCTCCCAATCCTCCCCCTTACTCTTTCTCTCTCTCTCTCTCTCTCTTTCCTTCGACTCTGAGAGCTCGTTGGAATCCGAACTGGCCATCATATCCACTGGGGCGCAGAGGCCGCCGCCTCCGCCGCCGGCAAGTCGCCGCTCCGTGGCGGTGACGCCGAGGGCCGCCCACGGCAGCGCGCGGGAAAGGCCCTCCGCGGCCCCGCGGTAGCTCTGCGCTCCCCGAGTGGGGACCGCCCAGCAGCCAGGCTGGAGGCGGCGTGTGCCGCGAGGGCTCCTCGGGCAGCCTCCACGACGACGACGACGACGACGACGAGGACGAGGGCGAGGGCGAGGGCGAGGGCGAGGACGACGAGGGCGAGGGCGAGGGCGACGACGAGGACGGCCTCCACGGCGCCCCAGAGCCCCGCGCCCGTGCGCGTGCCCGGCAGCGGCGGGGCGGCGGAGGGGCCTGCCACGCAACGCTCGAGCCAAAATGGCTACGGCCAACCCGTACAGGAAGGATGCGCGACAAGGATGCAAGGGCCTTGGACGCCCATTTCGAAGCTTTCCGAGCGGGGCGCGGCCAACGAACGTGGCGAAGGATGGACCGAGGGGGCAAGGATGCAAGGGTACCTTTGGGAAGGTTGCCCATCCTTACTATGCGGGTTGACTGTACGGTCCCCCTCCTCCTGGGACGGATGTCGAACAGGATGTGGAGGAACCCACCAAGCACCAATCCGGCAAAACAAGCTCATGCAAACATGCAAGTACAAGCATATCCAGCGGCGATGAACACAACAACTGAAACAGGCGCACGCTGTTTAATATCACGCACTGCAACATGAGGTAACCGCACCAACAGAAGCGACAGTAATCATCATTCCGCGGACAGCGAGGGGGGGAAATGAGAAGGAAAAGGCCTTCTCAGAAGGCGGCGGGACTTCTCAGAAGCCCTCGCGCCTGATGAAAAGTCTTTCTGCCTTCGGGGAAGGCTTAGAAAACGTCTTAGAAGGCCGAGGGACTCCCGAACCTTCTGAGAAGGCCTTCTTCTTCTCATTTCCCCCCCTCGCTCGCCGCCGAACACTGCGCTCCCTGTTCTGGCCGCAAGCCTGCTCGGCACCGTGCCCGTCTTCGCCGCCAGGAGCAGACGCCCGCACAGGGCGCCACCGCCGAAGTCCGGCCCTGGACCCCTCGAGCACCACGCGAAGGCCACGGGCTCGACTCGAGGCAGCACGAGGAAGCCAAAAGCTTACTGCGGAGACACCTCGAGCCGATGCTTGAGCAAAAACATGGCGACAGGAGGAGGAGAAGCAGGAGGAGGAGGAGGAGGGCAGGGAAGTCGAGGGTGGATGGAGGAGCGTGTCGAGGAGAAGGCAGAGGGGGGCAACGAGCAGAGAACGAGGAAGAGGAGACAGTAGGGGAGGAAGATGAGTCTCTTCTCGTCCCCCCTCCTCCTCCTCCGCCTCCTCCTCCTCCCGCCCCCACCCTCTTCTGGGCTGTCGTGCCAATTTGCGCTGCACCCCCCAGGCTGAGGGCCCCACGTGGGCCCTTCCGCGGACAGCCGATCCGATCCGATCCGCCCTCTTCCATTAGATCGGGCATGTCCCCGTACAGGCGGGGTTCGGACGTTTTCTTTTACTACGCAAACATAGACAGCAATATTCAACAAATCGTCCCCGCACAGTTTGTGTACTACTGTTGAATGCCGTTCCCCCTGGGGAGGGACATGCCCGACTTGACTCTTCCCCCTCCGCCTCCTCCTCCCCCCCCACACCACCTCACTCCGCTCCCCATCCCCCCTTCCCGCGGGCAGCAGGGGCCGCGGCCCGCAGTCGAGGACCTTCACCGCGCTGCTGGCCCTCGGGACGGCGCCTCGCGGCGGCGACCTCGACGACGTCGCCGGAGCCCCGCTCATTCCCCTCGGGGGGGGCGCCGCAGGAGGCAAGACATGGCAAGTCAAGACCAAGAGCGTCCACGGTTCGGCCGTCTCGGCTACGTCGCAGTCGGTTGCGTTCGGCCGGCTCGGTTGCGTTCGGGCGGCTTGTGGCGTCGATGCGAAGCCGCTGCGCCCTCCTGAGCTGCTTGCCGCCGGTCGGCTTGGGTCGGCCTCGAGTTCGCTCCTTGGTCGGTCGTTGTTCGGTGTTTCTGTCGCCGTGGACGTCTACGAATATGTGGAAACTCGTAGGTCGCCACACAGTCCCTCTAATGCAATTTGAGGTGGGAGGCAGGGGGGCAGCGGATGAAAACGAGGACGGATGAGGAGGACGAGTACGGAGGAGAACGGGGGGAGGAATAAACAAATGAGCTCATGGACTCCTGTCAAGAAACAACCAACTGGTGGACCCAGGAGAGCCTCAATAAACCTTCAGCAGCAGCACTGGCATCATTCCAGGAATTCGGATCCTGAGGCGGCTCCATCCGAAACCCTTACGTGCCATGACGAAGTTCAGGGCTGCAGGGAAGCAGGGAGCGCGGAGAGGAAGGACCTCAGAACTCCGACATCGTGCTCGTTCCACATCGCGGCTCCCCGGGGGCCTGGACCCCCCCTGGGGGCGCTTCTCACCCTGAGGCGCCTTGTTGGCGGCCCCCGGGCCGTGGGGGCCCCCCAGAGGCCGACGACGAAAACAAAGACCCTGGGCACCCGCGCCCTCGCCGGCCGGATTCCGCGGCGCGGTTCCGCGGATGCGCGGTCACGCGGATACGTTCCGCGCGGGGCGCACGCGAGAAATGTCCCCATATCCGCGGGGACGCGGCTCAGGAGCCCGGCCCGCGAGGCCGCGGAGCCCGTTGTCCCTCGCGTCTTAGTTCTTCACTGCTGTCTTGCCATACTTCCTCGAACCAACTCACATCACCTTCTCTTTCTGAGAAGGCGCTCCCCGCTTTCCGCAAAGCGAAACAGATGTTGCCGCCGGGGGCCCATTGTCCATCGCGTCTCCATTCTTCATTCTCGTTCCGAAAGGTCGCTTCCCATCATCCGCCAGCGAATTGCCCAATGCGGCCCGCATCCTTCATTAGGAGGAAAAAATAGTTCACCAGAACCAATGGGACACGCCAGAGGCGCTTCCCGTCATCCGCAACCGTGCCTGCTGCAAGTTGAAGCGTGGAAGATTGCCAAGGGCTGCCTGGCAAATTTCTGCAATGTTCTACGGGACCCCGGGACCCCCCACTCTGTGAGTCAGACCCAGGTGACTGCACTATCCCTGCTCTCGGGGGTCCCTGGGCGGCCATGGCGCCTCCCTGAGGCTCCCCAGGGCTTCCATGACGGCCCAGGAAGCCCCCAAGACGGTCCAAGAGGTCCACGAGTCGCCGAACGATTCATCGAAGACGCCCGAGATGACCTCCAGATGGCCCAAGAGGCCTCCAAGACGCTCCAGGAGTCTCCCAAGAGGCCTCCTAAGAGGGCCCCAAGAAGAACGAATCATTGATTGTTCCATGGTTTTCCACGGATTTGGGCGTTCTCGCCTCTCCGGATTTCCAACCCTCCAAAACGGCCCAAGAGGCCCCCAAGACCACCTCAAGACGGCCCCAGAGGCCTCTCCAAGAGGGCCCCAAGACGGCCTACGGGCACCGCGAGACGGTCCAAGAAGCGCCCGAGCGTCCCAAGACGGCCCCAAAAGGGGCCCAGGAGAGGGAACACAAAGCAAAAATCAGATCCTTCGGCCCCAAGAGGCAACACGGAAGCCTTAGGAGGCGCCCAAAAGGGCTCAAAACGTCCAGAAAGAGACCCCAAAGAGGTCCCACGAGGCTCCAAAGACGCTGAAAACAGGCCCCAAGAGGCTCAAAACGGCCCCCACAGGCCGCAAAGAGGCACCCAAGAGCCCAAGAGGCCTCCAACGAGATCCCAACAAGCATCCAATAGACTTCATACCCACAACCCAAGCACGGTGGCGGGACTTGCTGTAGGCAGCTGGAAAAATAATAAATTGTCATATCTTCGTCGGTTCTTGGAGGCTTTCCATCATCGGGGTGCTCTCACGCAGGTGAGCATCGCCAAGAACGCTCGTCCCGAACGACCGCAAGAAGCCCGAATGATGACCCGGCAACCTGGCTTCCTCGCGTCGTGAAACAAAAAAACGGCGGGAGCTACTTGGTAACTTGGCCCGGCAGCCGTCGAACAACAGCTCGGGAAGAAGCGCCCGTTTGGCGCCACGCTGTGAAAAGTCACGACGCTGGTTCAGGGGAAAGCCCCCCAGGCCTTGATGCATGGCGAGCACGGCCACGAACCCCACGAGCCTGAGGTGGAAGCGGCGCATTGCGCGCGCGGTGTAGTCCGCTTTGCGACAAGAGGCGCTGTATGATTTGCATGGTTGTTCACCGCTGTCATTTCTGGACCTGGGTCTTCGAATGCCCGACGTCGTTTATTTCGTAAATTTGCAGCGTGGCTGCCCAGAGGTCTGGACCTCATCCCAGGGACGGGTGCGCGTTCTATTCACGACGCGAGGAGGTCAAGGACTCAGGCCAGTACATGTTTCATGCTCCTCCTGCGTGGTCCAACACGGTTCCCTTGCTACCCGTCGGCCGTCGACAGACCCTCCCCAGACGGCCAACGCCTTGAAACGTCGACGCGGTAACGATCCGAGGTGGAATTCATCCTTGTGCCTACGGCTGGCAAGTCCAAGGCGATGATTTTGGGGAAATCCTTCAGATCGGCACCGAGATAGCAGAGTAATGCCACTCATAGGGATGGGGATGTGTCAGGCCTCGGGGGCCGCTTTCGGGCCCAAGGCTGGCAAGAAAATGATTCGTGATGGGCAGCTGGCCCGGGGCGAAAAAGAAAGGGTCGCGACGTCCAGGGCCCCCACATGTCCGACGTCATGCCTCTTTCGAGAGCGTGGCTCCCCAGAGATGTGGGTTTCTCGCCCCGAGTCGCCTTCTGACATCCCCCGGGTGCAAAACCCCGAGGAGGGTTCTGCACGGGAGCTCGGTGACAGCGATGACGATCGGTCACCTTTTTACTTCCGCACGGCGAAGCGAGTCTCGGTAGCTTCAGCCGTTAAACACTTGAGCCAAAGGTAACGGGGGCACCTTCCCTCCCCAGTCACCTGACTGCTTACATGTCAACACCCCCCTCGGACGCTAGTCCGTATAGGCTGACGGGGAGGTGTCTACAATCACAAAACAGGTCAAACTATGCAAAATGTCGCACGCAAATGACGTTAAGTCTCTTCATCATACCGTTGAATTCGAAATGTCTCGTGAGTGCGCTTACGAGCACCAAGTTTCTCACACATGTAACCTGAGCTCGAGTAAAGGCTTTTACTGTCACAAGTTCAAACGAAACATCTAAATTTTACACAGCAGGCTAGCATTTGGATGATTTTGATTGCTTTCGCTTTTTATTCGCCAATACCTGCGGTAACAACAAGAGATGCGCATGCAAACAAACTCAGCTCGACAAGCTGCCGCCACTCGATCGTTAAGCCAAGTTAAGAGGGGAGATGAGGAAGAGCGTAAACTGCAGCATGCTGACTGCCTGCCGTCTTTCACGAACGGCGCGGGCGCCTCGCCGACGGGGCTCGTGAACCCCTCGACCTCGGTAACCCGCGGTGTCCCACGCTGGCTGCGGTGTAGGACGACGCCCGGTTAAGGGCCTGCATCGGGCTGTAGTAGTCGTTGTCCATGTACGCGTTATTGCGCTCGTCGTCGTCAAGCCAGCACCCCTCATCGTAGCTCTTAATTGAGCCGTCAACGATGTTGTGGTAGGTGCCGATGGCTCTCCAGTAACTGGCGTGGGGGGCCTTTAACAGAGGCCCACCGCCTGGATTGTTACGGAGGTGCTCTTCGACCGCAGCGCCGGTAAACGGGTTCACAGTCCAGGCCGGATCGGTAAGCCAGTTGGGGAAGTCGTCGCACGGTAACCAGCCAAACCAGCAAAGCTTCTCACGGTCATCGCTTTTACGCTCGGTGACATGATCGGCCGGCCAGTTATCGCGGTAAAGTGCCCTCATGGATCCCTGATCGTTAAGGGCAACGTCCAAGATGGTCTGGTGCCAGTAGACTGGAGGCTTGCTGATACTGCCCTTTAACTCCTCGGTGCTCCTGACCTCGAGGTCGTCGATGAAGTAGTTACGGTAATGCACCTGGAGCCCGTTCATGTAACGGCAGTGAAGCTTGGCGAGATCGGGCGTCGCAAAGCGAATCACGGTAACTCCAGTCGAGATGTAACCGTGCGGCCCATGGGTGTCCTCCACCAGGTGCTTAACGGAGATCACGGTGGGGTTGCCGTGGGGCAGCATTCCTGCCCACGTTAAGAGGAGACCGTTAAGCTGCTTCTCGTTCATCTCCGGCACCTTGTTGACGTACACCTGCGTGTCCGGGCAACTGCGGGGCTCAAACCACGATGGGTGAAGCTCGTCAATGTTGAGTGGTGGCACATAGTCGTCGTCAAATAGGGACTGCACGTGCCCAACCGCGTCAACCCATTCATCATGCTTGGTCAACTCTTTGTCCGTTAACTGAGATCTCCAGCTGATCGGACCTTTCAACACGGCATAGCCGATGAAACCGTAAGCATGTTGGCCGAAGATGCCAACGAACACGTCATCGTAATCGTTAAGCTCCCGCCCTGCGTTGCCCTGAATGGACCTGCCGCCAGGGGTCGGGTCGTTAACCCCGCTTTCGCCACGTGCCCGACGAAGTGACCCTCAAACCTGCGCCAGTTGTCACGTGTCTTCATCGTTAAGGCTACCACTTCCCTGGGGTCAGGTGCCACCCGAAAGTTAACGTCGTAGTCGTCGCTCCTGTCGTTCAGCATGGGCATGCGACCGTTGACGTGGTACAGCGGGCGGTACACCGCCTTTGCGACGGTCCTGGAGTACCCCTCAAGCTGATCAGTCGTGCGGTTAACGACTTGAGGCTGCGGTGGCGGGACATGCTGGATCGGTAACCTCTTGGGCTCTGGAGGCGGGGGCTTCATGCC